TATTCACACGTTGTCGTTCGTATAGAGTGTAATATTTATATATATTTATGAAAAGTTGCAATGTGTTTATTCTAATCATCGAATTGATAAAAAGCATATTTTTATTTAAACGGATTGAAGTGGTTTATTAGGTATATAAATAATGATAAAATATTATATAGGTAGTTTAACGAGCGGTATGAAATTTCAAAATATGACTTGTCCTGCACTCGCATTATAACGGGACTATAATTTACAGTCTAAAATTAGAACGAGTATTAACGAATATTAGAAATTATAATGTTTAATGTGATTTTAGATGGTTAGCTGTAACAAAGTTTGAACCCACGTACGCAAGAAAAGCATTTCCCTGTTTCGACGAACCCGCGCTAAAAGCACCGTTCACGGTGTCTATCAAAAGGCGATCTGATCAAATATCTTTGTCCAATATGCCGTTGTTAAATTCCATCAAAATGTAAGCATATTATACATTTGATCCTTATTGTGTTTTTGTTCGATTGTATTGCACGCGTCGGCTTGCTCTTTTAAGTTTTAACCACGTTATTCGAATGAAAGAGCAATTTATTTATATACCTTATACCTATATTTTTTTTAAGGTATTCTTATACATATGCGATATTTTGTATATTCATCGATCTGTCAAGGCACAAAATCACATTATGCAATTGGATTGAAACTGATTTAACATATTTTTACTTTGGTTTCGCGTAAATGTTTGTAGCACTAAATGAATTGTTCAATGTTGTGTGTATACGTATAATAGTAGGTATTTACAGATAAATAATTATCACTGTCATGAATTTGTATGACTACAGACACTCGTAGGTACAGACATTTTTTTTGCCACTTTCGTTCTGTCTGAAWGTGTGTAGTGCCGGATAAATTGGCGAAATAATTGGGCTTTCCACAATAAATGGGCGCATGCGTACCTGTGGATGTGCTCAGTTCAAACACAATTGAGCTAAAATAGTTGTACCCAGCTTGTATTAATTTTTTTATTTTTCCCGTCTCACATACAGACAACATTCGGACATGTTCTGGGATCACTACCAGGAGACTCCGCCAATGTCCACGTACTTGGTGGCGTTTTTCGTGGGTGAATTTTATGCCATAAGAACGCGTAACATCGGCATATATACACATAGGCGTTACGTAAAGCAGGCACAGTACATCGCAGACGAATCACCGAAACTTCTCAAAGCAATGGAAGAGTTCACAGGAGTGGATTACACGTTGCCCAAACTGGATTTGTTAGCAATTCCGGATTTCGCGGCGGGCGCGATGGAGAATTGGGGATTGAACACGTACAGGTAATGAAGAAATAGTAACCAAATGTAACAATAACAACACTTCATTACGGTACATTTTTAATGCACGCCCACATGATTTGATGCAGTTGTGTATTAAATTAAGTGTAAGAAAACGTTTACAGTATGCGTGATATAAAATATGACGAGTGTTTGATATTACAACAGGGAGAGGCTGTTACTGCTGTCGGAAAATTCCAAGACGAAAATGAAAGAGTTCGTAACTACAGTCGTACAACATGAACTCTCTCATCAGTGGTTTGGAGATCTGGTGACGTGCGCGTGGTGGGACTTTTTGTGGCTGAACGAGGGTTTCGCAACGTTTTTCGAATATTTCGCTACTAAAAYGGTATTATGCAWATTACGAAATTCATAATCAGCAATAATGAAAAAATTACAATAATTTTAGTATTATCAACAACAACAATATTAATTTACTGCAGGTCGAACCAGACTGGCGCCTAGAGGACGTGTTTGTTTACGAAGTGCACCAATCAGCTTTGAACGCTGACCAAAACCCGATGCACGCCATATCAGGATCCGTTGAAACCCCAGCACAGATCCGGAGAATGTTCGACGTCATATCGTACAGCAAAGCGGGGGCGGTGCTTCGTATGCTACAGTATGCGGTGACCGAAGACAATTTCAAAAGGGCGTTGAACCTGTATCTGACAAATAATGAGTGAGYGCAGTCGATTTTCAGAGTGTTTCATGCTAAACGTGCTTAAATAAATATTGAAAATCGTATTTGTATATTATTATTTATAGGTTCAAAGCGGCTACTCCTGAAGAGCTGTGGATCGCGTTCGAAAACGTTCTCTACGACACCAAATTTGATTTAGGAGAAAATGTAACCATCACCGAATTAATAAGATCTTGGACGGAACAGGCCGGTTACCCGTTGGTGGAAATCGTCAARAAAAATCACACGTTTGTCATAACTCAGGTAGATATGGGAGATATCATTAATGCTCCTGATGAGTAATTATTGAAATATTATTATATTATAATAATTGGAAATGATTTTTCAGGAACGGTTTTTGATTCATRGTTTGAACGATTCTACCGAAGATAATGTRACAGAATGGATTATCGGTCTGACTTACACGACGCAAAATCGGAAAGACTTCAACGGGGTTTTGCCTAAGATTTGGCTGAAGAAAAACAAAACCGTTTTGRCGGATCGAAATGGAACTGGATGGTATATTTTCAATTTACAGTCAATTGGTAATGCGTATAAACAACAATATGTTGTCGGTTTTGAGTTTCAGTTACTGTAAAATAAATACAAAGGTTTTTTTAAAAATAAAAATTTAGGATTTTTTAGAGTTAATTACGAGGAAGAAAACTGGAATGCCTTAATCAGTCAGCTGCATATTGACTGCAAAGAAATACACGTGCTCAACCGAGCTCAGTTGATTGACGACGCATTTAATTTGGCCAAGGCAAACCGAGTGGATTATGCACTGGTTTTGTGGATGT